ATTTTATTGTACTGCAACGAGCTAGGACTATGGTCCCTTTTTACATATAATGGAATACTGTTGAATGTAAAAGGATTGGATGGGAAGTAACTTGAAGAGATCAAACTTTTTAGCTGCATCAAGGTTTTCGGAATTTCGCCTGAGAGAGAATTATTTGATAAATCCAAGTAAAACAAATGCTCCATCTTTCCAATCCATACAGGCAAGCTGCCACTTAAGCGGTTCCATGGCCACTTAAGCGGTTCCATGACAAATCAAGCACTTCTAACTTCCCACAATTCAGCAACCAAGTAGGAATCTCACCATGCAGAGCTGAATTTCCAAGTGCCAAAACCTTCAAGTTATCAAATCCAGAGAAATTTCTTGGAATTTCTTCACCATGGAAGTTCGTTGAAAGAATTAGAACCGAAAGATTTTTGCAAGGTTTCAGGGTGTTTAAAGCCCCTGAAAAGTTCATCAAACTCATGTTTGACAAAGCAAGGATTGAAAGAGACGAAAGATTTCTGAAACCATAGGGGAATTCACCAATTAACTCGTTCCTAGCAAGGTTCAATATTTTCAGCTTATTGCAGCTACAAAGTGATGTTGGTATGGTACCATTGAGATAATTTGAAGCAAGATGAAGCTCATTGAGATTTGTTAGTCCAGTGAAATCAAGGTTAATATTGCCTTCGAAAGAATTGTTTTTCAGATCAAGCACCTGAAGCATGGAGCATTGAGACAAGCTTGCAGGCAATAACCCAGTGAAAGAATTTGAATGTGCAACTAATTGCTTCAGTTTTGTAAGCTTATGCAGAACATCAGGAAAAGGGCCTGAAAAGCGGTTGCTCGAAATCACTAAGGTTTTAAGGTTAGAGAGCTGACCAACTGCCTCACTTAACTTGCCAGAGAAATCATTAGCAGAAATTGAGAGCTATTCCAATGAAGTTATGGTATAGATAAAGCTCGGAAGATCACCCTTTAGTAAGTTGTAATCAGCATGCAACTGCTGAAGCGATGTGCAGTTCTCCAAGCTGTCAAGCACACCAGTAAAATAATTCATTGATATGTCAATTACCCTGATTTTGCTTGAACTGCAAATATGGGGATTAATTAGTTCGGTAAACAAATTATTGCTAACATTAAACACAACCATGTTTTCGAAGAGAATCCCAAAATCAAGAGCTGGTCCATTGAAAAGATTGCTGGAAATGTTTAGTGATTGTATATTTCTCAAACCAGAAAATGCCACCAGAGTTGATCCTGAGAGCTTGTTCTGACTAATATCGAGGAAAGCCAGATGCTGCAAAAAGGAAAACTCGATAGGCAATTCACCTTCTAGGTGATTACCAGAAAGATCAAGAGCCTCCAGCCTGTCCAATTGACCAATGGAGTGCGATATTGCTCCTCTAAGACCCTTGTTCCGCAGAATCAACTTACTCACTCTACCTGCAGCTGGTGTATTATTGTCAGTTTTACAGGTGACACCATCCCATATACAGCAATTAGCGGTGTCAGCCCAAGCTACAATTATTTTCTCATTTGTGTAATTACTGAATAGTTGCTTCAGAGCGACAAAATCAGTATGATCACATGCTTCAAATCTAGGAACAGAACAAGCAAACCAAACCAAGAAAACCCATGTCAGAAAAGTAACTGTAAGAGAACTCATTACCTCTATTAATCGGAGAATCTGCAATATAATATCAGAGAGATCAAAGCTACGCACACTTGTTTAGCAACCTAATCAAGAATTTATGCAATGAATTACACATGAGATCTAAAGAACACTAGCAGAGAAAGCACTCTGCTGGGTCGATATTGACACTGAGAGGTGAAAGCTAAGGGAAAGAATGCAATTTGAAGCAATTAATTTCAATCAAAATCATCAAATATATGCTTGAACAAAACAACTCGAAGGCCAAAGCTCACAATTCTATTCTAAAGGAAAATGATATTCAAGATGCGATGAGCCAGTGTATAATTTTATAATTCGATACAACATGATAAGAACTTCCCAATCAAGAAAACAAAAGACAGAAGGGAAATTCACACACTATGGAGACATGAAGAAATTGACTTTCATTTTACTTTGACCATTAAGTATGAAGATATCAAGAGAAGATCCTAGTCTGAACACTGAAAAACAGCTCTGTGTTATTTAAACAGTAGGTCAATTCCCCATGTGAGAATTACTCCTTAATCATCAGGAAGATTACTCAATGAAAACCCCAAACTATCAACAACTTGCATTTTTTTTAAAAGTCCCATTATCTTAATTAAATAAATTTCAACTTGAATTTGAAAACAAGCAAGTTGCTAACTTGCTATTAATGGATGCTTCATATATACTAAAACAAAACAGATCTTAAAATGTAGCTGACTATAAGTTGTGTAAAATTTATACATTTCTAAACACAGCAAAAGACTGTGAAAACCCCATTTGACTATGTTTTAAATGTTTTATCAACTTTATACATGACATTAGATACTACAATAACCAAGGTATGATGTACAAGTGAAGCAAGTAAAAAATTAAGGTATATACTGTAGCTCTCAAACTGATTTTTTAATTACATGAACATGCTAAAATAAACATATTTGCCTTTGCCTAAGGTGCCAGGTAAAACATCATGATGACATACTGATGAAGATTCAGTTTCAGGGTTTGCTTCTTCCAGTTTTATTCACATCTCTGAACACCAGAAAAAAAAAAAAAAAAAAAATACAAAAATATCAATTCATACACAGAAGCTGCAGAACTAGTTTCTTATTGTTTCCGATTTTTTTTCCTTAAAAATCATACTTCTTGCAGATTGGATTACAAGCTAAGAGTAACAATGGCTAAGATGAACAGATCCACCTGCACTACAGGCTACAGTTGCCCGCTGCTGAGGATTGGGAGCGTGCCTATACTGCAAACACAGGGCTCAATTATATTCTTCTTAAAGGAATTCAATGCAGGGGATGTGTTGAATATTAGGCCAATCCTCCTCACTTGGGTCTTGGCATCTTTCTCTGAGGCATACTGAACAGTTATGAACATCCAAGTTGAACAAGGGTTGTAAGTTTGGGCATCCTATTCGGCAGTACTCCAGACCTTTGCAACAGGAAATCTGAAGAGCTTGGATGGCGGTCAAATACTGCAATCCCTCCAGCAAAGTTACCATCTGTGGAAGATCCCTCAATTGCTAGGAGCGAAGATTGTGAGAAACCATGGCATGCCAATGTCACTACCATCTGAAATCTTCAGATTAGGACTGCTGGATATATATAACTTCTTCAAGGCAGTGAGATGCTCCAACCCTCCAAAAATATTCTTCAATTTAGGACAATTTTCAATACACAAGGACTGCAGGGAAGATGAACAGCCGTGAATCACCTCCTCAACTTCTTCCAAACTCTCAATCTCTTTGTCACAGTAAATGTCCATATAGGTAAGACCCGTAAAAGCCCCCGTTGTTAGTGAATTCAGCCATGCCGCATTGTCTGTTCTAATCACCCTTAATTTGGGAATGCAACGGCTTAAATTTCCCAGATCGAACTGCAAAGATGGATGGTAATAAGGGAATGAGGGAGTACTAGTTGCCTCTCCATTATTATTCCTTTGGGCATCCATCACTCTCATTATTATTCGTAGTCCTTCATTAAAACCCATTAAATTTAAATCTTCCACCATAGGACACAGTGGGAAAGATGTCAAGCCAGGGCATCTGCGTATGAACAATGTTTTCAGTCGAGATAAACTCAGTAATGGATATTGCACCAGTCTGGTGCTACCAGCTAGAAGATGATCATCTCCCACTTCCAACCACCATCCTTTCAAGCAAATCATACAATCGAAGTCTTTCAAGGGCGGGAAAGAATGAAAAGCCTTCTGCACTTGAAAACCCAACTGATGCTGAAACTGGTGGAGTACAGCAAGCTACTGATGCTGTACTATTTTCAATGTACTCCAAATTTAGCAAGTTTTCAAGTTCGAGGACTTTTAAATGACGCAAGTTTCCCAAACAAGAAAGGTTCTGCAACTCCTCACACTCTGAAAGTTCTATTCTGACAAGATTAGGGAGAAAGGTCACGCAACCTGGCATTCTAACACCTTTGTATCCTGACACCTCTAATGCCATGAGATTAGGATGTGGCTGTAGCTCTTCCATTAATACTTCCTCGTAACCCATTGTTCCATCAACCTCCTGGTTACTCGTAAACCTAATGTTTATATGATTGAGATGCTTCTTGCTCCTCAAGTATCCGCCTTTCCTTCCACTGTCTTCCATAATTTTTGGTCCATTTTTGGGGAGCCGAACCTTAATTATTAGAGAACCTTTTAGTTTCTCGAGAGCTTTTAGGTCTTCTAAATGATCATCCTACTGTTCCCAATTTGAGCTTGCTTCACCCAACACAAACTGAGGTAATGTGTGAAGGTATGTCAGCTTACCCATACACCCAGGCATACAAGTCAGATACAGCAACCCTCTATATCCAGGACTCTGAGTTTAATCAGTTTGCTCAAATTTTTGGGCAACTCTTTCAATCTATAGCAACATTTTAGCTTTAAAGTCTCCAAATTATGCAATTTCACAATTGACTTAGCTAGCACATTCAAGAAAACATTATGTGAAAGATCTAAGTACCTTAAATGTAGCAACTCACCAATTGAGTCTGGCAGACATGTAATATTTGAATTACTAAGGTCCAATGCCCTTAAGCACAAGCAATTTGCCAGTAAGGCCCCCAAAGCAAACTGATCCATCGTGGTACAATACCCCAAGCCAACTTGAAGACATGAACGAATGCGGGTCTTCATAAATGAGTATTTTGCAGATTTATTTCTTATAAGAGTTAGATGTCGAACTTTGTTATCCACAATGCCAGTGGTGGAAATTGTTCTGCAGATCTCCTTGCTAGCTACATTTTGAGCAACATCGTGCATAAGATCATGGATCTTACATGAGGTGATCTCACCATGTCCATCTTGTTGTATATCTTGGAAAAAACATCTACGCAACAAAATTGAAAAATTATTCTTCTGCGGCATCTTCCATGCTTTGACCTTCATCTAATGGAACAATGTAGCCCTGTGCCATCCAAAGGCTATTCATCATCTCCTTCTGTATCTCAAAATCCCTGGGAAACAATGCACAATAGCTGAAGCAACTCTTTAATGGAGATTCAAGATGATGGTAGCTAAGCTTCAGTATAGGCATGATATCATTATGGCTCTCTCTGACATTAGCAAATCCAATCTCCATAAATGATAGCCACTTGTTCTTGTCTTGACCATACAAAAGACTTCCGACCCCTCTTATAGCAAGAGGGACTCTGGCACATCTTTTGACAATCTCTCTCCCAACTTCAATCAAGTCATCTTTAGAGTTTGGCTGTTCTAATTCAAATGCCGCCTTTTGAAACAAACACCATGAATTCTTTTTAGACAAGCCTTGCAACTCATATATTAGACCATTTCCTATGATTCTTGGTGTTTCACGGGATCGTATTGTAACCACTATCCAGCTTCCTTTATGACCTCCGATCAAATTCTGCTAACTTAAGCCAGAGGCTCCGATTCTCAGTCCATACATCATCTAAAAAAAGTAAGAATTTACTGCTAGCTAATTTTTCTCCAACTTGGCTTTGCACCCAATCCATGGTGGATCTTTCATCCTTCTGACCAGTGGCAGAAGCCAGAATTTTATCAAGAATTTCTGCTGTATCCAACTGTTTCTGTCATGATCAGAGATACAAGTCCGCATCCTCAACGGAAATAAGTTTACGATCCTTTCATCATTAAAAACATGCTGAGCAAGAGCTGTTTTGCCCAGCCCCCCAATCCCGACAATTGTAAGAAATGATACATCCCCTTGGACATTCCCTTGCAACATATGTACAATGTTTTCTACATCATTCTCTCTCCCAATAATAGTACCTGCATACACGTAAGAACATGTCTCCTCTCTTCTCCTCCTTATAGGCTGATGATCAACACTAAAACCAAACTGCCTGTGATTGCTGGCAACAGAATCCAACTTCTTCCTGACCTTCTTGACCCCTCGAGACAAATTGTAAGCAACCACAAGAGGATTGAATCGAGAAAAGAAGAGGCAAGCTTTCTTGGAGGCTTCCCCTCCCTTGAGATGCTGCTTCTGCTCAGCAAGAGTGGCAAACTCATCAAGCAGATCATCAGCATCATACACCGCATCCTTGAGCTACTGAATCCAGAGCTGTGCCTCATCAGACAGCTCTTGCATGGCCTCTGCATCACGAAGCACAGCTCTGATAGTAGAGATGGTGTGTTGGAGATCATCGAGTTCAGATTTGTATCCCAGGATTAAACAAATCTCTTTCAGCTCTGAACATTGGAGTACAGAAATAAGTGTTTGAACGATAGATAGTATTGCTCCCAATTCCATTTTTTCAGATTGAAGCCAAGTAATGTGGGTTTTTTTAGAAGATAATGTGTGACCAAAATGATAGTATATATATGCAGTCCTACAAGCCTCACACAGTGTATAATGGACAATGACTTGTACCTACTAAAAAGAATGATTAAATTATACAAAGAAGATTCTTTGCACCTTAAAAAATGAAGAAAAAATGAAATAACCTATGAAATAAAACAATTATTAGCACTTTTCTACTTAAAAAGAGTTGCAAATCTAACAAAAGCATCTTAAAAAACAGGTTTCATAGGAATACACTTATACACCCATTAAATGTAAGATGTGACATACAGATTATTATCTAGGGAGAGTATTGACCACTGCACCAAGATTAAAAAAAAAAAAGATGCGATTAAAAATCTTCATCATCTGAGCACTCAGTCATAGAACCAACCCAAAAATACACCTTCCATTGGAAAGACAATCAACATGTTTCTTCCTTGTAAGAACACACAAGTACAACAGTACATTAGCCTTTTATATTTCCCCATAAAGCTTAACGCGTAAGCATAAGATACTAGTCGACTACAATGGCGCATCCCAAGTACTCCCACTTCCATAATGCTATGATCAAGTTACAGGGATCAATTTAGTTAGAGAACCACTGATGATATTCACAGTTCCCTCTCAAGCGACTAAATATTCAGACAAGTATCCCATTGCTAGTCATCTGCCTACAACCGATCTTTATAGACTCTTCAAATACAAGGTGCTGGGAGATTTGTTGTTCAAAGAAAAGTAGAGGGAGTACAAAAGCCAGTGGCATTGGTGGTTCTTCTCAATGCCCAAAATGAATTGGTTTCACCCGATTTTACGTTGGACAATATTGTGAGAATCACGTATTTACAAGATCTACTTTGAAAAGCAGGGTTACTTTAAAACCCAGAATAATGTCAATTGCCTTTTCCCATAATTTAGGGAATCCGTTCTTGGATTGGTTAGTCTTTATTTGTCCCTCTCCCTTTTGCTAGTGCAACTTTATCTTTTCATTTAACGAAAATGGAAGCCTTCACAATTGAGAAAGATCACTATAAATTCAAAAGGCTAATAGTAACACTGGTAATGCAAAATTACAAAGAAAAAAGACTAATCCTCAGCTGGAGCAGGAGCTGAAGCCGGAGGTTGATCTGAAGCTGGAGGTTGATCTTTACCAGATGAGCCCTTGTTTGCCTTCCTTTCCTGCCACTTTCCCCATGCCCACTTCAAGACAATGAATCCGCCAAGAGCATATATCTGTCAAAGAATTCAAAGGATCAACTTTGATACTCAAACTAGTAATAAATATCTTATTTTCTAAAGAGCTTAGAACCACATATTAGACAACCAAATTGCAAATTCCAACAATGGGAGGTCTATCTAGTGAGGTCAAGATTCAATATTTATACATCAGGACTCATGAGCAAATCTAGAATGAGACGGTTTCATACAAGCTAATCATAACAAGTTACCCTTAAAGAAAAGGTTTAGAGTCATTCTAGTCTGTCTCACAAAAGTTATCGAAAGACCGTCAAAGACAATACATTGCCAAACAGAATTAGACAAAGCTGCCAAGTCTGTAATACATACGCTTTTTTCTTCACTTATAAATACTGCTACCCATGTGCCATTCAAAACTAACATAACTTGCGATAACTTTAGAAAAGCTCCAATAAGTTCAAATAAGTACTTTAAAGGTGAAAAGAACAAAGCCTAAAAAGAGCACAGAGATTCTAAAAACCAAGAGCATATACATAGAGTGATAGAGCACTAGTCCCCATCATTTTAAGCTACGACGCATGACATCTAGCAAATAGGTGAGCACTATACCTCATCACCTTCCTTTTCTAAAACATAGAACACTTGCAATTGATTTCATAAAACTTCCCCAAAAAGAAAGTTTATGTGGCAATTAATTATCATATTTCATAAGCCAAGTAGCCAACAGATCTATGGCCTAGATTGTGGCTTCTATGGCGGACTTCATTTAATTGACAGCTCCCACAATGTACACCATACAATCTTCAGTCCACTGTCAAACTTCAACACCAATACATATTACGAAGTACTCCGTATTCAACATATTTTCTTGGTATAAAGTATCCTGCATTTTAAAGAGGCATTAAAAGCCATTGCAAATAGATTTCGAATTCCAAATCATTGTACATTCGGAGTAACCCCAAAGATTGTTACCAAGTAAACTAGATAGCATTTTGTCACGTGCTCGCACCCATGCAATTTGCATATCCATATAAGGAAATAGATACATTAGCTTCTTATAAACCTTTAAGTAACTTCCCCATTCGAATCTAGTTGTGACATTGTGAATTCAAATTACACTAATCAACACGACTATTACTGAATTCAACCATTCCACAAAGCAATCAATCCTCGAAAACACAAACCACATAAGGATTTCATCTCTATAGTCAATTGAAACATATATCCAATAGAAAATCAACAATCATTTTCATTTATTACACAACTAATCATTAATTTCCGAAGTAATCCAATCAAATTACCCATAGATTCTCATCACATCAAAGAAGTAAACATTCTTACCTCTGTCTAATTGCAAAGCTAAACTCAAAAATTAATTCATTACTACTCAAAACGCAAATTTAACAGTACCCTTGATCACAATTTCAGTCTAATTGCATAAATAAACAAAACCCAAATCCCAAAAATTCAATTTAACCAAAATAACACCAAAAAAATCACCCAAAAAAAAAAGAAAAAAAAATGATTTAATATAAGTAATCAAAGAAGAAATTACCTGCCAAAGAATTAAGGGATTAGTATCTTCTTGAGCATCTTCACGTTCAACCTTCAATGGAGAAACTTCAGGCTTAGACACAGGAAACCTAACAACATCTGGGGTTTTAGAATTACTTCCAGAACTTTCTTCACCATCAACCTTTTTCACAGATTTCCCATTTTTCTCAAAGGGTTTTAACAAAAACTTAGGAATAAGAGACAAGAAGAAGAAGGGGTTGTTCTGTTGATGTTGTGACGGCGCTTCGGAGTCTCCTGCGATTATGTCGGTGGTGTGTTGGCCTTCTGCCATCGCTTACGGCGGTGATGGGTGGTTGACTGAGCAATATGATAAACGGCGTGGAAGGTTTTGGTTTTTGGTGAGGGTTGATGATATAATATGAATGAATTTAAACCATAAAGTTTTATATTGGGGTATTTTTTTAATTTTGTTGGGCTCATATAGGTCTAGTTGGCTCTATCATATTCTACTCTTATCTTGGTGAATGGTGATTTGTGTATTGAGATCACTTTCTAGAGTGTAATTTGATCCTTTGTACTCATCGCAAGCTTGAATGCGGTAACTGTAACTCTGTAAGTAGAGGTAGAAAATGGGTCGTTTAAATTAATTATTGGGATTTAATCTAACATGTTTTTGGGTCTAGAGGCAAATTCATCCTTATAATTGTCAATTTTATGTTTTGATATAATTTTTGACATCATGAATCACTTACAGACATATTTAAATGGTTATGTAATTAGTATTAACTATTGAAAACAGATGGAGTTTGAGTTGACCCACGATGGATTGGGTTTGTTCAGGTCAGGTATGTTCAATTCAAGGTTATCCATTTAACTCGTCTTGGGTCGGATTGGGTCACTTTCGGGTCAGGTCAAGGTCTGTTGAATCAGAGTCGGGTAAACTTCAGATCGGTTCATATACGATTCGGATAAATTCGGATCTGGTCAAAACAGGTCAAACGAGTTAATTTCGGGTCGGATGACTTTTGGTCAGTTTGATTCTGGTTCGGTTGATTTTGGTTCGATTAAGTTTAGTTTGATTAAGATAAAGTTGATTTGGTATTGGGTCAATTCCGATTCATATCCTTTTCGTGTTTGGCTGAATTTTGGTCAGGTTATTGACCAAATTCAATATTCAAATAAGGTAATGAAGTCAAAATAAAACTAACTTCAAAAGTCAACCAAACGAAAGTTAAGTCAAATGAAGTCAACCTACAACTTGGAACCGTTGTAGCCCTTTTTAAAACCCAACAAATACTTAAAACCATTGCGTTTAGATATATATAAAATCAAGATCATGCAAGAACCAAATCCTATAATAGGAACTAGGAACTCATCGTGACCGTTGATCGCTCTCAATCCAATGGCTCATGCTTCACCCGCCCTTTTCAATTTCATTAAGAGTATTTTCATAATTTCGGCAATTGAATGACCTCCCTTGTTTTTCCAGGCGCCGCTTCATTTTCTCTCTCTCTTCTTCCGCATTGTCTCTCTTTACCTTCGAATTCTCTCCAAGGCGATTTTTCGCGATCTGCACTCTTCGCTTGCGCTCATTGATTTGTCAAATTCTTCGATTTTGATCTTCAATTACTTCGTATTCTTCGATTTTTGTCATTCATTGAGGTAATTTTCTTGTGTTTCTGATTTTATTTTTATTTTCGTTGTTTATTTTGATTTCATTGTTTATTTCATTACAGTTTTCGCGATTTAGGGTTTTTTATTGTAATTTTTATTAATTAGTTTATTTTTACTTATTAATTGTTCTCTGATTTATTCTCTACGATTTAGTGTTTGATTTAGGGCTTTAATTTTACGATTTAGGGATTTTTTTATTTCTGATTTAGGGCTTTTACATTTTTGTGAATTATTTGCTTGGAATTGATTTGATGTATGGGATTAATTGCGCTTTCTAATGCTGTACTATGTTATGCTATTATATAACACCATCTTAATTGCTTAATGTATGTATATGTGTGCACTCGTGCGCGTGTTAGTGTGCAATTGTTGAGTTGTTACTTTTGAGCTTAAATTATTTACTTTTGAGGTTATTGTAATGATTGAGTTTCGTATATTGTTGTGTGGTGTTGATGTTAGTGGTTGCGTGGAGAGTTGTGTGTGATTGTTGTTTGGTACTAGCAGCAAGGGCATTGCAGATTTTTGTTGTGGTGCTATTTGTGGTGCTATGTCGTTTAATATTAGTAATCCTTTAAGATAAAACTGTGGTGTAAATAGCCTGAACTTAGGATCACTGTATATTTAGAGTATAAGATTTGGGGCATAATTGGCTTTTTATTATTTACACAAGACAAGAAACTTTTAGTGGAGAGATAATAATTCAACTTCCATTATAATTCTTCCTGTTTTGGAATAATCATTTTGTGATTTCTCAGAGTAATCCAATGTCAGACACACAAGTTGGTGCTGCAATGTCAATTTCTTGGTTTGGTACCACCACATGCTTTCAACTGCTAGTTCATCCAAGGTTTGCAGAACCAATCGTTTTTTATTCAAGTATGTCTTTTTTATTGGCTTAATAAACTGAACTAGTGCAAATAGGTAGTGATTGTGCGGGCTGGGTGTCGTGGCTCAAAACAAGATGGATAGATTGTGTGGACTGCTTTATGATGCATGTCAGATATGCAGCAGAGCAAGGTTTAGGCTCCTTGTGGCTCGTACATTGGATGTGAAGCGAATATGGTTGGAAGGAGATGTAATTTTTGTGTTTTTTAGGTTAATGCTAGCACTAGAACTGCTGTTAGAAGTTCTGTAAACTACATTAATATCAAATGTAAGAGTAAAGTCTCAGTTTTCAGGGATCTCTAGTCCAGTGCATTTCAATTTGTTTTGTGTACGGTAAAAATGTGCTTTGATTTCAAACTTTTTGTTATCTAAGAAAACTAAAACTTCTCTTTGTTAGTTTGTCACAATATGGAAATTTTTAGATGAGTGTCCCTTGTTACTCTGTATTATTAAAGAGATGTTTACGAATGCCCGTGTTTCCATTTCAAGGCAGTGAGGTTAAAAGGGCAAGCATCTAAGAGGATGGATTCCCTTATAGATTATTCTTCTTGGTTCCATAGATACTTGAAGCCAAATCTGTTTTTAATTATTCCAAAAATTACTTGCAAATGCTCGAGTTTGGATGAATAAAACCATGTTTTTTTCCCTTGCTAATCACTAAAATCTGTACAATTTTTACAATTAGTAGTACTATAATCTATTGATGATTCAAGATAATCAATTGCTAATCACTAACACTAGCCTACATTAGGATGATCTGATGACTTTTTAACATTTGTGTGATACCTATGTTTCTATTTTTTCTTCTCGAGCTGTCTTATTAGGATTGAGGAAGGAAAGGTAGGAGAGGGAATATAGGAGTCATACTGAAGATGCCCTTACCAGATTGTGTTGTCCATGTATGGTTTACTTTATAATGTAGTAGATACATGAATGTTGAATCATATAGGAATTTATCAAATTGTATTGTCTATGTTTCTTTTCATTATTCTTTGATAAGCTTACAACAATTGAACTTCTCGAATACAATGGTAGAGCATTATACTATACAAATTTTATTTTATTTACTTTTGAGATTTTTTTATTTACTTTTGAGTCATTTTTCTTTACTTCAAATGCTTAATTTATATTAGCCTACTAGCTCAATAAGAAAGTATTGTGCCAATGACAAAAGATGTGGGTTCGAATCCCACGTAGGTTCTTCTAATACTTCGAAAAACTTCGAACCATTTGATTATTGTAAATACACTTTTGAGATTTTTATATTTACTTTTGAGTTTTTCTAATTTACTTTTGAGTAAATATTATTTACTTTAAGGTTAATATTGGAGAGGAACTAATAACATTCTGTTTTATGGCATTGACAACATTTGAGGCGTCAGATTCCAGCATTATGTTTGTGAAACCAAAACGTCTGGCAAAGTGGATCCCATAGCGCACAGCAAGTGCTTCTGCCATCTCAGAGTTGGCAGCCCTTGTTCTCTTTGCTACACACATAAGAAGGTTGCCATTAAAGTCTCGCAACGCCAAACCAAGTCCCACTAGGTTGCCATCCGCAAACTAAGCGTCAGTGTTCACTTTTATGACCCCTACAGGCGGGCATGACCACTTGCTCAAGACTGGGATTGCTAAGGTTGCAGGTATACAATTGCCGAGGATGGAGTTATATGTTTTATTAGATTTCTTCTTTTTTTTGTTTACTTTTGATATAGTTTTATTTACTTTTAATTTGAAAACCTCTACTTCAAACTCAATATATTTATGTCAAACAAAAAAAATTTGACTCATCTTGTAAGGATATGAAAGTCAATGATTCGAAGTTTTTGTGCTATAACAAAGTTTAGTTACTCATTATCATTTCAAGATGATTTATTATTCATATACTTTAGAGCTAATTTGATTTACTTCAATGATATTTTGATTTACTTTTAGCATTATTCATTCACTTTTGAGTAATTATGATTTACTTTTGGCATATATTAATTTACTCTTTTTAGTTTTTCTACTTACTTTTTAGAGATTTTGATTTACTTTTGAGGTATTTTGAATAACTTTAGAGTGTTTTGTAATTACTTTTTAAGATAACCTATGTAGGAATCGAACTTACACCTCTATGTATCCGCATAGTGCTCTACCATTTGAGCTAATAGGTTTACTTTTTTTTTTGGACACAAATCAAACAAGCAAATTTATTAAGGAAGACTTAAAATGTCAAGAACCACTACATCCGATAAACCATCGGGCACCTCTACGATCCACACTCTACGATCAACATAACATTTACTCAAATGTGTTAATATGTGAGCAACCTCATTTCTCTCGTTTGTTGCTCTTAAGATGATGGTATAGTTTAGCATTGTCCGTCTCCAATATAATTCTATTGAGACCTGCTTCAATTGTGATTTGCAAAGCATTCCTAGCAGCCAGCGCCTCACTAACATCAATTGCAAATTTGCCCTGCAACCTGCAACAAGTAGCCAGCAGAACATCACTTGTAGTGTCACGAATAACACCCCCAGACCAAATGAAATATCCTTAAAGCAGGCTGCATCGGTATTCAACTTGAACACCCCAATTTCAGGAGGTTTCCATCACTGTATAGCAGCTATATGAAACATGCGATCATGTTGAATAATAGCTTTCTCATGCTCACTAATTATGCCCATAGCTCTCCGGATTGTAACTTCAGTAGCCACATCTTTCTTACATAGGAGAAGTCCAGAGATACTTCCAAGCCTGCAAATTACACATATTGGATGAAGAGGCAACTATATATTAGCAATTTTCAACTATATTAGCTCAAATAACACTTGAACTAATAGGTTGTAGCACTTGTATTAAAATCCAAAGCATAATTGATAATCCAACTATGTTTACTTTCATTAACTTATGAGTCTAACTGGTTTACTTTTATTAACTTTCAATCTACTTTTTAATCAAGAGAAAAAACAAACTTTTAAGACTAATTGATTTACTTTTAACCAACTTCTATCTACTTTTAGAAATTGAAAATTACAAGAAGCAATATTCATTTTTAATCAGCATATATAAGATCCTATCCTTCAAATATAGCAGCAAATTCATATAGACTATGCATCACTTCTTTTCACCTCAGTAAAGACTCTAGCAGCATATGACTTATAGTCATAGACATACCTAGTGAAACCTGTAGCTAGCATTATAGGATTGTGTGTTGACGGCTCATGAATGATGTTATTCCTGCTAGTCCAAGAGGACCAACATAAGTTTGCAAACATTGAAATCTCATCCCCTGATAGTCACTCTGCCACCCGGCTTAGGCAATCCTGAAAAGAAGAGTTGGGAGCTTCTGTAATCAATTCCAAAAATCCACTCACACCCAAATTAGGCTAGCATATGCTTACTTTAAGAGAGGATTAGTTTACTTTTATGAGATATATACTTTCATGGACATAGGTACGAGACCCAGCACAAGAACATTGTACGTGAAGAAAGAAGTAAATAGCTTAAATTAGGAACTAGGCTTACGAACCTTTAAACAAGCCACCAAAACAAGCTCACAGAGGGAAAATATTTACTCTTGCCTGATTGGAAAATAAAGCAAAGTGTAAAGACCTAGATAAAGATACATAAGTGTGAAGAGGTTATTTAGTTATTAACCTCAAACCACTCATCCCTATGTGATTTCCTGTCACCACAAGAAACAAAATTGCACCTGCCACATCCATAAAAGGACCATATATATCTATTTTTGAAATTGATTAAATAAGAGGATTCATTGAGGCATTTTGTCAAACACTTAGTGTGCATTAAGAAATCAACAACAATAATTGAATAATCAAAATTAATAAATGTAAAGTAAAAAATAGACAAATTCAGGCATGAAAATCTCACTAGTGTTTAGAATCGAGCTCCAAATCATAAGCTAAAAACATTCAAAAAATCATATAGATTCAATTGTTAAAAACTTATAGTATGAATTCACTCAGTTCACATAGATTTGTTTGCAAACTCACCAAAATTCATATTAATTTGTATGACAATACTTTCAGATCTAGGTGTTTAGAAATTCTAGCAACAAAATTAATCGTATAATCATTCATGACCTCAAAAGCTCAAATTTCACTATAAAGAATCCTAAATTGACAAAATAATTAACGATAAACCATAGATAGTGAAATTGAAATTCGTGATTCAAAAAAGAGGAAAACAAACATCTTACCTCAGAAGTTGCTTCAATGGAGTACAGAAAGCTCGAAATCCGCTCCAATGGAGTAGAGAAAGCTCGAAATTCGCTTCAATGGAGAAAGCTCGAAATTTGCTTCAATGGAGTAGAGAAAGTGCCTTGATTGTGAATTAATTTGGGCCGCTCATCAAGCGTGCATCTAAATTAGATCCAACGACCTAATTAGTTCCTAGTTCCTATTATACAAGAGGTTTCATTATAACTCGTACATATATATATATATATATATATAGGGGAGGGATCCGGTAAGAACCCCTCCTTATATAAGAACCTAGTATATAGGATTATATTGTAATAGACGCTCCAGATTAAAGGAATGTTAGTAATGGCATTATAGTAAATATGAAAACAGACCACCACCATATATAAACCCCAAATTTTCTCTCTCCTCAACCATAACCCACACTTTATAAAGTTTCTACTTACTACCTCACTCTCTCTCCTAAAACCCCCAAATTCTCTCCAAAAATCACGAAATTCTGATTTGATTTTTGTGATTTTTCTGATTTTAGCATGATTTCAAGTCGATTTTTTATTTTTCTCATTTGATTTTCATTAATTTTCGGCGATTTTAGTGTTCAAATTTCAGTGATTTTAGGGCTGGAATTTTCAGCGGAGTTAGGGTTCGAATTTTAGCAATTTTAGTGTTCGAATTTCAGCGATATTAGGTAATTTCAGCACTACTTGATTATTTCTTGTTTGTTTTTTTTTTTTGCTGCGATTCTTTTTGGTTTTTTTGGCTTCATTTTAGTAGTATTTCGATTATATTGCTACCTCTGTATTCAATCTTTTATTGAATAGTCTATGTTTTCAGTTTTTTTGATGACTATTGTATGTCTATTATGTTTTGCAACTAATTATGTAATTTCGGAATTTCTAAATGAATTAATTGACTTTTGTGAATTGTAAATTAGCTTAGGATGTTCTAAACTCTATCTCATAATGTTCTAAACTCTTTTTCATTATGTTCTAAGTTAGTGATACCTCTTATTGCGTTCTTAATTGTTAGTGATATCATTGGTTGGTTGGCCTTTAGATGGATGAATTAGTGCTTTCGTTAGATTGATTGATTGACATATATTATCTTTGAGGGAAAACTTGGGGACTGAGGAGAAAGAGAGAGGGAAGGAGGGGTGGGAGGATTATGCTGGCTAGCTGGGCATTATTAATGAGTTCAAAGGCTTAAAATAGGTGGATGAACTTATAGTCTTATACCATGCTTATGAGTTATGAATTTATGATGTTGCAAACTTAACTGTCTCAAGATGAATTGTAGATGCCTGGCAAGTTAGGATGGTTTTGTATACATGATGGGGGCAATTTAACTTGATACAATGTGGCCATATCAATGCCAATGTAGCTTTCTAGTATGATAATTATCGATTTTAAAGTAGAAGTAGCTGCTGTCAAAATTAGTGGAGTATTGGGTGGGGCCCCTTTGGTTTGAGAAATTGTAAAATGTGAAGGGAGGAACACATGCAAAGGTTTAGAACATAGGAAAAATAGTTTAATTTAGAACATGAGAGAAAATTTTAGAACATAGGCAAAAAAATTTAGAACATAAAAAAAGGTTTAGAACATAAGAAAGATAGTTTCGAACATGAGAGAAAATTTTAGAACATAGGCAAAAAAAAATTAGAACATAAGAAAGGGTTTAGAACGAACATAGGTAAAATAATTTAGAATATGAGAGAAAAATTTAGAACATAGGCAAAAAAATTTAGAACATAAGAAAAGGTTTAGAACATAGAAAGATAGTTTAGAGCATGAGAGAAAATTTCACAAGAAAAATTTTAGAACATAAGAAAAGGTTTAGAACATAGAAAGATACTTTAGAACACAAGAAAAAAATTAGAACATAGGGTAAATAATTTAGAACATTAGAAAACTAATTTAGAACATAAGGAGATTACTTTTACTGATTTAGAACATAGGCAGAAAACTTTACTGCTAGTGAGGGATGTGGATTGGAGATGCGGTGTAGGATAAGAGAGGGAGTGGTGAAGGTTAAGTGGCTGAGCAGCAGGGTAGAACATAGGTAAAAGAGTGGTGAAGGAGCAAATGTTTTGAACATAGGAAAAAATTTAAAGCACATGTTTAGAACATAGGTAAAACAAAATTTTAGAACACAGGCTTTAAAAAATTTAAAACATAGAAAAAAAATTAGAGTACAGGTTTAGATTATAGGAAAAAATTTAAAGCACATGTTTTAAATACAGGAAAACATTTAGAACATAGACAATAAATTAATTTAGAACATTGAAAATTTAGAGCACTAGTTTAGAACATAGGCAGTAGGAAATTTAGAACATAGGAAAAATAATTAGATCATAGACAAAAGAATTTAGAACATAGGAAAATAAACTTTAGAACATAGGTAGAAAAAATTTAGAAAAAAAAAAAAAAAAACTTTAGAACATAAATAGACTAAATTTAGAACATAGGAAAAAAAAACTTTAGAACATAAATGGACTAAATTTAGAACATAGGATTAGCCAAAAAAAAAAAATTAGAACATACTTCGTATATGATTATACGAATCTATTTTATATTCTCAGTCATGGTTATTGTATCTAGCAATTTTTAGTTAACTTTACTACTTATAAATCATAAAAATCATTGATAGAAACATGAAAGACAACAAGGTCAAGGAAATTTAGAAAATTCTGAAAAATATCAGCAAAAAATAACAATTTATTATTATTACTAAAGAAGAAAAAGGCAATTTAGAACATAGGAAAACTCTCAAAACATAGATTTAGAACATTAGGGAATTTTTTTTTTTAGAAAATATTCTGAACATTTTTTAGAAAATTGAAAAAAAGCTTAGAACATAGGGTTGAATTACAGTACATTATTTAATCGTTGGGCATGCTAAAACCTATTAGCTCAAGTGGTAGAGCACTATGCAAATGCATAGAGATGTAGGTTCGATTCCTACATAGGTTATCAGCGTCATGCGATAATTCCACCGAAAGTTAAAATTTTTGGTTGGCGCGTTCTTCACAATGGGGTGCCTGTTCGGAGCTATTTAGCTAAACGGGGTATATGTAGTGATGATATTTGTCAAGTTTGTGGTGATGCTCTTGATTCTCTTATGTTAGACATGGTCTTACAATTGTTGTTGAGGCAGGCTTGTAGAATATTGAACTTGAAACTGATTTGCTGAAGCTGTACTCCCACCTGCAGAACAACATCAGAGAAATTTCGCCCTTTGGTCTGAATGTGAACGATATTTTGTGCATTGCTAATTCTTGTTCTTCTTTTTCTGTCAGCCATGTAGGGAGGGAAGGGAATAGGGTGGCACATAAGCTTGCCCAATCTAGTAATGAGTTTGATTGTACGAGAGTCTGGATTCAGGAGCTCCCTGCGATTTTCCTCTGTCAAACTGGTGTAATTTACTTGATAATACTTCCTAGTAGTAGTTGTGTTAGGTAATTTGTTAGCATGTGTTGGGTAATTTGTGAGCTATGGTGGTTGTTGTAGTAATAATGGAGGCATTTGAGTTTCTACATGTGATTGTTTTCCTCTACTTCTATGGGAGGGCGTTGATCTATATCAAAAACCTATTAGCTCAAGTGGTAGAGCACTATGCAAATGCATAGATGATGTAGGTTCGAATCCTACATAGGCTATATTTATAAATAACTATATTAAAAAAACTTTAGAACATAGGTAGTAAAAATTTAGAACATAGGAAAAAAAAACATTAGAACATAAGTAGACTGAATTTAGAATATAGGTAGTAAAAATTTAGAACATAGGAAAAAAAAACATTAGAACATAAGTAGACTGATTAGGCAAAAGAATTTATAATATAGATAGAAAAAATTTGAACATAGGAAAAAAAAACTTTAGAACATAACTAGACTGAATTTAGAACATAGGCAAAAGAATTTAGAACATAGGTAAACGAATATTTAGAACATAGGAAAAAAAAAACTCTAGAACATAAGTAGAAAAAATTAGAACATAGGTTGAAAAAGTTTAGAATATAGGAAAAAAAAACTTTAGAACATAAGTAGACTAAATTTAGAACATAGGAAAAAAAAATTTAGAACATAGGTAAAAGAATATTTAGAACATTAAAAAAAAAACTTTAAAACATAGATAGTAAAAATTTAGAACATAGGGAAAAAAAAACTTTAGAACATAAGGGATCATAAGAGTCTTAGAAGTGGTTGAGGAAATATAAGTTGACTTTGATAGAAGAAATTGGATTTAAATACATTGAGAAAAGAGAATGGAGGAAATAGATCATGGATGATGATCAGTACTTCAGTAAAATGAAATCTCGGTTCATGTAGCTGACTCGTTTTTTTTCCTTATGTTCTAAATTTTTTCCTATGTTTTAAATTTGTTTTTCCTATGTTCTAAATTTTTTATTTATGTTCTAAAGTTTTCCTATGTTTTAAAATTTTTTTCTGCTTATGTTCTAAATTTTTTGCTATGTTCTAAATCTTCTCATGTGTTCTAAAATTTTAAGCTTATTTCTAAATTTTTTCAGCTTATGTTCTAAATTTTCTTTTTTTCTGCTTATGTTCTAAATTTTTTGTTTTTGCTTATGTTTAAAATTTTCTTTTTCTGCTTATGTTCTAAATTAAATATTTTTCCTATGTTCTATATTTTTTTCAAGCTTATGTTCTAAAGTTTTTCCTATATTCTAAATGTTTTTCCTTTGTTCTAAACTTTTTTTTTGCTTATGTTCTAAAGTTTTTCCATGTTCTAAATATTTTTTTTCTTTGTTCTAAATTTTTTATATTTATGTTTTATATTTTTTTCCTATATTCTAAATATTTTATTTTTCTTGATGTTTTAAATTTTTTTTGCTTATGTTCTAAATTTTTGTCCTATGTTCTAAATTTTTTTCCCCTATGTTCTAAATGTTTCGTGCTTATGTATAATAGTCTCACCCAAACGAAAAAAGTAGCAGGCTTAAACACACGCTGAGCATACTCTATATAATCAGCCAGCATCTTTAAGTAATATACAACAACCTGAATAGGATCAGACACAGGTCCTTGATGCAAACATAGAACCAAGATGCCTAAGCCAGCATATACAAAACTGTTAAGCTCCTTTTTGCCAATCCTATCAGTCACCCACATGAGACGCTAAAAAAACTAGAGGTTGGAGAATCAACTAACAGCCCCACATACTCACTCTGAGCCCATATTACAACAACATC